TGGATATGCAACTCAGGGGATGGTTTGGTGCTAAGTTCGCACTAATCCTCAGTACAAAGCTAGGCTCATAAATGTTACTGAAGTCCAGACACTAAAATAAAGCCTTCAGGAACAGCCCCAATTAGCTGGTAGGGTGYAAGTGCTCTGTCCTTGGAATAGCTTGGCAAGGAACTTCTGGAATTCCTCCCTCCTCATCCCAGGGGGTGGATCAGTGCTGTAAGAGCTCCCAGAAGGATGACACTCCCTTCCTTCCGCTGCCTCTCAGCGCCCTACGGGCAGGACAGCAAAGAAGGGCATGGAGCAGGGGGGTGGGGGCATGTTCCCATTTTTTCACTGCTGGGAATACTGTAACAATCACAAACTAAGCCCAAATTATTGATTTGAAACACTGCCACAAGTGGAGCCACTTGAATTTTGGCTGCATCRCCAGGCGTGTGCAAGCAGCAGTCAGCGAAGCGCCAGGGGCGCCTTGTGCTCGGTGAAGTCAATGGCTTGACAGAAGTCAAGTGCACAACCCCATCTTCCACCACAAAATTACTGTAAGAGCTACCAGCATTTACAGGCAAAAATCTCCACGTGCAAACAGTTATAAAGGATGAGCACATTTTAGCTCATGAAGGCCTCTGAATTCACTCCACACTTAAGATTGCCTGACTCAGGGGCTATATTGCGCAGGGGAGTAAAATAACTTTTTGTGAACCACATAATTCTTGTTTCCCCTGTCACATCAGTCTTATCACCCTACATTTGCTGGTGATGTCTCTTTCTCCTAGTTCCGCCCTCGCAACCCTTTGAGGTTCCAGAATTTCAGCATTTACCCAAAGCTTCGGCATCACACCTGCAACCTCAGAAGAGAAAATACACCTCAAGTGTGACACGAACACAACTTGAACAGCTTCATCTTAGCCTGATGCCACWCAAACGAAGCTCAACCATACCAAATGCGGTCCCTCCAGACCCTGAGTTTCCTCTAGTTCTTACAAGCAAGCCTGGTGGCTGCACCCTGTGGGTTGCACATCASAGCCCTCCGGCTGCAGAGCTGCATTCGCCTCCACACACTGCAGCTCGCAAAGGACACAGTGAAACTGCAAAAATGAGAGAGGAAAGGCARTGTGGAAAGAACAGTGAGTTTCTGGACAAGAAACTAAATTGGGACACGCTWGCTGACTAAGAGAGCATGGGTTCCAAGTCTAGAAAATTAAGACTAGAGTGGAAACAGTAAAAAAGGGGGACTTTGCTTTCTGTATGCAATAATGGAAGCCAAAGGAACCTGGTTTTAAACGGGTAATAATTTGAAAATGGAAACAAAGGGAAGTGCTTTGTCATATAACAACTGCAATGTAGAGCTCRGTGCCATGGGGGCTGCTGGAGGCAGAAAGATCACATAGGTTCAAATGCAGATTAGAGAAATGRATGAAGGTTATATCCAGCAGCAGCAGCTATTAAGCACAGCAGTCTGAATGCAAACTTCAGACTAGGAAGCTGCTAGGCACCTCTTTGTCAGAAGCTGAAAAGACAGACCAAGGGAAAGGGGAAATATTTCAAACATATACCTCTTCTCTTACGCTCTTTCCCAATCCCTTTCTCACTGGCCTCTGCTGGAGACAGGATATTTAGTCACCATAACCTTTGATCTGACCTACTGTGACAATTGCTCTGTTCTTCTAAGTTTCATTACTGGAGTAGAACTCACACTGAACTTCACAGATCATTGAATGATTTCTAATGCTTTTCATTACAGTGAACGWCAGGACACATTCCTTCTCTCACAATTTCTTCATTTTCTGTAAGCAATCTCCAAGTGCAAAACTGTACATTTACATTCAAGCAAATCTTAGCGAGACCAAAGAGAGCCTCCTAAATATTATTCAGGTTTCKCACATCAACACGGAGGACAAAGGACTATTTCAAAACTTCCTATGGAAAAGATCTCGTCACCCCTGCATCCTTTTCCATCGTCAGGTTGCGACTTCAGCGCCAGGACCCCGTTAGGAACACTCTGTGCAACATCCTCGAGGCTTCCCTGGGCCAGGAAGCTGCTTAACAGCCCAGCTGCAGAAAGCCTGCTCAGATCCTTCAGCTTTACGAGCAGTAACTTCATTTGAATGCCTTTTTTTGTTGTTGTTGTTGTTGTTTACCTGCCATTTGGCCTCATGGTGCAACCCAGCCTTCTCCAATCACCTCACAGGGCCTGCAAAAGGGAGCCAGAGGTTTTGCGACCACAGGAGATTGTGGTTTTAGCACATTAGTGCAGGCAGCCTTTGTTGAATTATTCTCACGCACAAAAAAAAAAAATATATGGACGGGGTCACAGGTTTTCTCCTTTCAGTGCAGCACAGCTGGTTAAAGGGGCGGGCTGAGCACAGCAGCCTGCTGCAGGACAAGCACCCTGGTACCAGGGATGCTCTTTGCTCACAGGCAAGGCAATTGCTGCTGTAGGTCACGGGTTGTTTATTTGCTACTCTGCGCTTTTCTCCTATAGTCTCTCCTCCCCCTGACCCCCAGGGAATTTTTGACTAAACATCAGAAAAAAAGCATTAATCATGAATAACGCAGTTGCAATTACGGTATTTGAAGCGTTCAGCTCAAAACTATGTTCACACTGCTTCCTTCAGCTTGCCATTTAGAGAGGCCTGGTATGGCACCACAGTACGCATTTGCACGGCATATGAAGTGATCAGCACAACTGGAAAGATCAAAATTGCCTCCAAATTCTTGGGCTTTCGAGGAACTGTTCGGTTTAATGATTAAAACCACATTAGTGCTAGAAATTGTGTGAACACCTGTCAGTGCACTGTGAGGGGAAAAAGTGCTATTTGCCTGCTTATTTATTTGAAAACTCTAGGTATATATTAGAGTCAAAGGAATTTTATTTGTTTTTCACCAGAGGCGAGATGACAGTTCGAGTGGGAACGTGAAGCCCGAGTACAAAAGCAGCACACAAGCTCAGTGCTCATTTTTCTTTTCCTGTATTTACTTTCCTGCAGGGGAAGCAGCTTGCACTTTAAGTACTGCACCTTTAAATTTGCTGCTGCTCTGCCTTTGCAGGTAGCTGAACTAATACCCCACACCCACAGGTATCCAGGTCTGCATACTTAAGCCTTCAAAAAAGAGAGAATCAGGATGTTAAGCACTTGGGCTTCCCCTGTAACCCTAGCTATGCCTCTGATGCAGAACATTTGCATTATTTTTTGCACAGATTATTCAGTAAGTGCTCASCAAAACCCTTTTCCCTCTTTGACAGTTACAGCCAGGCTGTCTTCTGTCTAAAGACCTAAAGATCATTTTGACTTTCAATCTATTTTTCAACAATTTCAAGAGGTTTTGTTTGTTTGTTTTCCTGCAAATAGGCAGGAGGGGCCCCATTTCCTCAACTTTCTGGAATATTCATATTCCTTGCTTGGAAAACCCAAAGCTGTCACCTGGCTGAGAACACGCCAGGAAAGTACCAGCCCCAAAGAGGCAAATTTTGTCAGGGCAAACACAAAGGATTACAATAAAAATGCTTATATCATCTTAATTGTAGATGATGCTTCTTCCCTAACCACAATGGCACACACATGCTGTACAACTGCATGCRTTGGAGACAGCAGCAGCTATTCCCCTGGCCTCCTCCTACGCTTACCTTCTTACCAAAGCTTACAGAGCTGAAGAAATGATTGAAAAATCTGCCCAAACCAAAGGTAAAAAACAGTAATTGTGAGAGGAGAGGGAAGCGTTTTCCCTACTGCATATCAACCTAAACAACCCTCACACTGGGCAAATCAATAGGATTTTTTTTTTTTTCTGGTTGCATAAGAACAGCCACCCAGTGTTTGCTCAGGGAAACAATCAATATGAATTCCATCCAAACACGGAACTGACAGCAGCAGGGGATATGATCTAAGGGAGCAGGCGGGAGGAGGGAAGGGGGCTGCGCAGGAGGAGAAAAGGAAAGCATCAAAGGTGCATTGGAGGCAGGAAGGCCCTTTTGCGTTTCAGTGCCTCTGCACCCTCCATTCATATCTCGGGAAAGGAAAGAAATCAGGAAATATTACTTCGGGTTGCATGCTTCTCTCCCGGCCTATCAAACACGCAGAGTAGTAACAGCAAATTACTGGAAACTGCACTTTGAACTTAGCCACTGGCAAGGATCCCAGTCAAACAGAAATGCAAAAGTTCCCTTCCTCCGTGGGGCCTCCTGTACGGGGGTGTCCCCACAGACGCTCCATAGCTGGTTGCAACAGGTTGGAATGAGGCCCCGAGCCAGAAAAACAAGCCCTGACCAGTATTATTTCCTGCTGCCAGTGTTGTTTATTAAAAAAAGATATTTTGGCACATCATGCCCAGCTTTGTTGGGCTACGCTAGAGGTTTGAGTCCCATCGAGGAAAAACTGGCACCATGTGCACAAAGTGTTTACTCCTTTTTTTTCTTCCAGGATTCTGCCTTGTGGCTCTCCGTGGCACAACTATAGGTGCAAAGATGTATTTAAAGAAGAATTAGAAACAGTCAGGCTGGTTGCTAAGCAAAGACTCTGGATTTCCCGGGAATAGAAAAGTAATAAGCCTGTAAACCCTATCAATATTTCTAATATAGACAGAAGAAACTACACTTTCCAGACTTTACAACACGGTTAAAAAAAAAAAAAAGTGTTCAGGAACAGTAACTTAATGTTATTAACAACCCAGAGAGTGCCCAGTGAGTGCAGAAAGGCATTGTAGTTTCCCCCTTCCGGAGCTGAAATGATCAAAAGATTGGCCTCTTTACAGTCTGTTATGCTTCTGTCTAAGAAAACCCAATTTGCGCAAGCAAATAAACTAGCTCATTATAAAACTAAGGGGTCAACTGGAGTCAGATAAACTCCCCAGTCAGACAGCTGAAGAAACAAACTTTTATTTAAGCCACAGCACAGGTGATCCTAGAAGGAAGTGGCAAATCCCCACAGATTCACAGCTTCTGCACTGGGAAATGGGAAAGCAAGGCAAATGGAGGTGTGCCGAGAGAATATCCTGCAGGTTTCTGAGAGTACACAGCTCATCACACATTGAACCATAGGCAGCAGATCCCACCTTGCTTTCGAAGGGAAGAAACAGATAAGAAGTCAAATGCTGTGGTCACGAGACAGCAAATTGGATGTTACCACTCATCCCCCACCATAGTTCTTGACCCTATGTGTAAATCAGGAAGTATAAGAATAATTTCCATAGTTTTTGGTTTTAAGAGACTTAATTTCCTCTTTTTTTTTTCCCCCATGCCCTCTGAGGAAGAGAAAAGGGAAAAAAAAACAAACCAAAAAACATAATATACCAGCAYAGAACAAGTACCTTTATGCAGGGTTATTAACTTCCCTGTTCACGGATCTGTCAATCTTTTTGCCCCCAATAGACAGCAGCATCTTCAACTATATCTCAATTTACTTCTGTCCACAGATCATCTTCAAGTTGCATATAGCCACTCTTCCTACCAGCATAGTAAGCAATGAACCATCAGTCAGGTCTGCAACCACTCAGCACAGATTCCATTTTCTCCTGACTGCAGAAGCCACATCAGAATCAACAAAAAAAAAAAAAAGTAATTAAAAAATAGCAGAAAAAAATCTCAAATTCCCCTCCCATCTTTTCTGATAGGTTTAAATATAACCTGATACAGCTTTTTGTCAAAGTGGTGTGCATTCCATTTTCAGAAACAAACTTGTATCAGGAAATAATCCACTAAGCCTGACAGATGTTTCTGTAGAGATTCCAGATCAATAAATCATATTCCCAGTGAGACTTGCAAAGGCACAAATCCTGACCTTGTRAAAATAAAGAGGTGTTTATAACAATTTCAGCCTGTTACTGATTGTTATAAGGACAGCACCATTTAGGCTGTTCTCTGAGCCTCCTTTTCAGAGGGGATTATAAGGGAGGTTTCTTTTGCTCTAAGCAAAATTTTTCTCCATTGCATGTCTTCCTTGAAAATCTAATAGTCATTATTTAACTGAGAGTTGCCACAACGTCAATAAAACATCAATTTACAGTGCATTAACACGCAGGCTAATTTGGGGCCAAAAATAAATCACTGCATCCTCTGCACTTGCAAGTCCAACATGTGGAAAAAGTCTAACATCTGAACTACTGCAAGTGCTTCCACAGAAAACATTAGCTCCCTGCTCTTCTATGACACTAGATATCATTCCATGATACATCAACTCAGTGTCACTTATCAAAATAAGTCTAAATATTTTGTAATGCCTACATAGCACGGGACAGAAAAGTTTAGACACTTCAGAAAGATAAATAAAGGGTTGGAGGCACTTACTGACTGCCTTGAAAGCACGGAACATGCCACAGCTGGCAGCAGCATGCCTCCCATCTCAGGTGTGTGAAACGTGTTAGCTCCCTGCTTCCCCAAGCCCTCGACATACATTTTCTTCAAGTACAGTCAGCAACTGTAGTTTACAATGTTCATTTGCACTTGGGTCTAAAAYCTTTGATTTGCTATAATCCTGATAAGCTTTTAATTTCACTCAGGGATGTATCATATATAGAAAGTTTTGCTAATAGTTTTCACATTATGTACAAATAATTTCTACATGGTGATGTATTCTCAAGGGCTTTAAGGAGTTAATGCTAGGTTGGGGTTTGTTTGCTGTTGAAGTACATTAGTAGCTTGTACAGCTACCTGGGTTTGTTTATTGATAAGCCTACAAAGCAAAACCTGAAAACTGTTATTCCCACAGTGTTAAATTATGTATCTCACAGATCAGACCTGAAGCTGCAGGTGAGCAGGTTAAGTAGAAAGGATAAACAAGAATTCAGTGAAGCATGTTTTTATTGGTGAAAAAAAAGTTTTAAAGTGCTACCCACCTTCGGCTCTACTCGGACTTCATGGATCACTGAATTTATCCCAGCAAGTAATATTGGATGTCAACACAAAACTCCACAGGTTACTCATTGCAACTCATAGTAGTTGAGAAGTCACAGCCAACATCATCAAATGAGAAAATCCACTCAAAACTGGAACAAGCTTTGTTCTGGAGGATGAAGAAAGAAATAACCATTAAAAAAGTGAGTTCGACCACTACCATAAACCGTAGCTATTGTTATTTTTCATTATTACAGCTATTAAGGTAATGACTTGCACCATGGAACCTGTATTATGCAGGATGTAAGTACATAACTTTTGTTTTCTCAGTATTCCCTTTTAAAAAAAGTCATACAGATTGAAAAGGCAGATGGGAGCAGGCAACCAGGTTTACATTAAGGGCTTGATAACAGTTGCACAGAGCTGATGATCTGTATTCTCCCATCCTGACTTGATGGTAGCATTACCAAATGAATCCTCTGCCTTTTCCCCTTATTAACTTAGGGCACCAATTATTCCACAGTTGTATTTCAGAAGATTTACAAGATTAAAGTTTCCTTGCCCACCACAACCTTTCATTTCCTACCGTCAAAACTAGGTCTGACTCCCTATAAAGTGTACTTATGGAGTTTTCATTTTTTTTAATTCTGCTAAAGCACAAGGTATATATCTCACTTGTCCCCTAATTTCCTGAATATGATATATATTTCCTCATCCAAGTCACCTGGCAACACAGGCTTGCACGACAGCAGCTTGCTCTATCCTGTCAGAGGAATCGAGTTACCAGGAATGTTGATGCACTTCTAAAAGAGGAGTGGGTCAGAGGAGAAGAACAAATACATTTTGTAGGGTTTTCCCAGAGAACACAGGCTGCTCTGAGAAAAACACTGAAATATGCAGCTGATTCCGTTTGTGCAGCAAATGAAAGAAAGCAAGAGGAACGGAGGGGTTTTCATGCAGATTCCCATTCCCTGAACCCAATATCTATCACGGGGGTCAAGTGAAAATCTCCCCAAAAACAAGGGCATAGAGCCATCCCAAATGCTGAAGCACGGTACGTAACAGCACAGCCGTGCCACACCAGCCTGCTAACTTCCCAATTATGTCACTTCTCGGGCAAGGTCAGGAGATCAAATTCTGCTCCCGCTTGCCCTAGTAAGCAGATAAGGAGCGCGATAGCTCTGCAGAGCTCGCTAGGGCTAGCTCAGCTGCACGAGGGCTAACGCAGGGCCGCGAGCCCCTTTTGCAGGCAGCTTGGTGGGCTCTCTATGCCGTGAAGCACACGGAGCAACGCAACAAAAACACTGACAAAAGGAAAAATAACTGGGGGGAAAAAAAGGGGGGAAAAAATCACAGCTGATACCCTTTCTCCCATACACTAATACCTTGAGGAGTTCAAAGGTTTTCCATGCCTATGGCATTTGGCAATTATAATCGCCCAGTAAAATACCTCAGGTTAATGAGTAACCTCTAGAGGAAGTTACTTCACATAATGACAGCAATTTCTCTGAACTAAATGTTAATAACCAGGCCTGTAAGGCGGCAAGGAGGAAATGGTGGGCAATTGGCAAATGGGCCTCCGTTACCTAGTAACGAGGCCTTGAGGTATGAGGCGAAAGAACCCGCGCGGGCAAAACATTTCCAGGCTCGACAAACAGCCAGCCTTGGGTAAAACCAGCCGCTGGCCACACCGCGGACACTGGAGGCAGGTGGGGCACGTGGTTTCAGCAGGCTGAGGTGGCCTTGGTTAACGGCACAGCGCAGGAAACGCTGTCGTGTAATCAGCGATGAGCGCGGGGCGGCAGGGGACACGTCTCGGAGCGAGCCACCGAGCAGCAGCACTTAAAAGCAGAGCATTCCCACTGACTGCGGCTCGTGCATCCGTGTCCCGTCCCGTGCCTGTGAGAGCGAGCGGCTCCGCTGTCGCTGCTCGGGCGCAGTACGCGTGAGGGGCCCTCGGTGCTGCCGCGTCACCCGCCGTGCTGCTGAGCCAGGTGAAGCGGCCACTGCTCGGAGAAGCTGCCGCAGGAGGCGTTTCAACACCTTTATCCTAAGCGGTGCAATACGCACTCCGATCCTGCCCAGGGTTATTGCCGTTTGTGACAGGGAAGGACATCAGAAATGGCCACGCTCCATCGCCCGAAACGGAATTCCACATTTCTACCTTTACAGCAGGAAGGAACATACTAGTTGCCTCAAGCTGTCCTTAAACCCACCTCCTTCGTTCGCAGCGAGGGAGACCATCTGTCCTCCTTGCTCTTTCTCATGCACTTCTGTTGAGGACTACAGGAACAACATAGGGCAAAAATAAACAGCCAGTCTTGTCAATCACCTTCGTGCCTTTTTTTTGTGACAAGCTTTTTTTTTTTTTCCCTTCTGCAAATATAGACAGCCTTTCCTAGGAGTGAAAGCCCGGAGTTACTGGCCAGGCTTCTACACCTTTATGCAATTCTCTACTGCCAGCAATTAATTTCTAGGAAATGCTGTATGACTGTTAATATTGCCAGAGTCTCCACACAGGAGCCAAGATCAGATGTTTTGTTCTGTGAGGAAAAAATTCCAAGTGCAATTGCGTGTTGATCTACAACCCATCAGTGAGCAGGGTCAGTTTGTTTKTTTGCTTGTTTTAGTAAAACCTAATCAAAATTGGCTTCCCCAATTSTTTCTTGGGAAGGAAAATCCTTTTTCTGATCCTCTTTCTCAAAAATAAAGAAGGAAAATCAATTTTTAAATGTGATTCTAATATAAAGATGAATTTGATTTTTATTTTTTAAAGCTACAACAGGCAGCAAGTTCAGTTAAACTTAGTTTTAGCCTCCGAGCACAACCAGCATTTTCACTTCATGATCACAAGCACAGAAAGCAGAGCACTGCTCCAAACTCTTCTTTTTGCCTAAAAATACTCTGAAAAAGAAAAACTTGGAAAAGAGCCCACAGTGACCCAAACCCTTAACTCAGAAACTGGTCAAAGACAAGACCCTCCTTGCTTTTGGAGATAACAGCATGGGCTACAGCCTCCTCTGGCTCCCCTGGATTTTGCTTAGTAATCCTTGCAAAATAAGGGGTTTTTTAGCTTGAAGACAGATGATACCCTATAGTCTAAGCTAGCACCTCAAACAGCAGAACTCTGTGCAAACTAGTTACCCACCAGGCAGCCAAGGGCACGTTCACATGGGAAGGGGAGCCCAACCACATGGATTCTCGCTTCCAAACAGCTTTCCCTCGCGAATTCCACTGGGGTAGAGCAGGCAGGAATTTTTTATTCCAGCAGTCACAGATTTTTTGTTCTTCTTGTGATAACCAAAGGCTGCTTCTAACAAGCTTTCCTCTCTCTAGTTACAGCACGTGCCACCAGATGACTTTGTGCTGCATCTGACGAGAAAGGTGTTCGAGACAAGTGGGATGGACAGACTCTTCGTGCACACCTAGGCCTGGCTCCTGCCTTTGCTCCCACCACTTTTACATCAGCRGGCCTGTCCAACCAGCACTCTCAAGTGACTCATTTCACCCTCATGTTCAGGAGATCAGGAAGAAGCCTCATGATTTATACCCCATAGCTGCAACAGCAAGAGCATAAAGACAAGTCATCTAACAAAATGAAAGTTAAACAAATACAGGTGCCTTGTGGCTGCTACTTGCTGATCTGGCAGCAGTTGTTAGTCATTTCATCAGAAGGCCCATCTGCAAGGATCTGAGAGGCAAAAGCTTTGATTGCCTGCCCTTCATGTCGTCTGGCTCCTCTTCACTCATTCTCCAGAGCCAACGAAGACTCAGAGTAGTAACAGAAACCTATCCAAGCCATGCTGCTTCACAGATGTTTGAAAGATAAATGCATAAACTGTGAAGAAGCTCACACAATGCATGGCAAATGTTTTGATTAACTATTGTGGTGAACTCAGACTCCCAGCTCTCGTGGCCTGTACTTTGACTTTTGAGAAAGGAGGTTTCGGATGGGACTTCCTGCAAGTGTCCATCCTTTGGAGACAGCTTAGCACCGGGCTCATCCCACTGCTGCGCTGCAGTGGCACRAGGGCAAGGCTGCTGCAGGGCAAAGCAGGCACGACACTCCTCATGAGGGCAGCACAAGGGCCCCACAGAGCTTCATCTGCCACCGGACACCACTCAGGTCCAGTGGGGGGCATCTCCACAGTCATTCCATGCATTGGGAGGAAATCTGCTTCCTGCCCCTGCCTCCTTGGGCCGGGGTCACCCAGCTCCGGGCTTGGCTCTTTGGGGACGAGTTCCTCCAGCGTGGACCAAGGGGAACACACAAGGCTCACACAGGACTCTGYGGCTCAGCGTTTGGCAGAAACGCAAGTGACACAGAGACGAACGCTTCTCAGCAATCCAGGATGATCCTGCCACAAAGGCCACTGTGCCAAGAGAGGAAAACAGGCATCACATCCGTGAAATGCCTTTGAGAGTCCATCAGGAATGCCCTCCAAACTGCCCCGTGCACGGAGTGGCTTGTGCCAAAGAAAAGGTCACATCCATACATGTGCAGGCCCATCCATACAATTCAGGCACTTGTTGTTGAACCTTTGTCCCCTCCATTTCCTGCACCAAACAATATAGGATGGCCCCAGAGACACACTAAGAGGTGTTGGCACAAAACTGATGAAAACCAAAAGAAATTCAAATTCAAGGCTGAAATGCTTTCCTTACCTCATCCCATTGTACGTAGTTATTTCAGCACATAATTGCTAACATCCTTCAGTGATCTGAAATTCCTGCGGATACAATAAGAGCAGCCACGGATGGATGCTAGCCTTCACTTTGCGTTTACGTGCCTTTGTTACAGCCTTTTGGGTCAAAACGTGTAACGCTTTCCAAGTGTCAGTGACCTAAAAGCGTTCCTGAAAGCCCCGAGCATGTTTGTGGGTGCCCCTCACAAAGCCACGTCGAAAGCCCTACGCTGCCACACAACAGCTCGTGTCCCCAGGCCTGGCTCGGTCTTCACATCACTTCAGTCATAAAATCATTCCCCTCTTCCTGCCGAGCTCCATGCTGGCCACGATTAACTGTGAGGAGCAGAACATCCCGCTTGTAAAGCCTCTGTGCAGCCCCACAAGGGGTTGGGTGTCAGTGCTCACAGGCAAACAGCCCCGGAGCAAAAAGGTGCTGTTATTCTGAGCGCTGGGCAGCTCTGGGGGCGACTCGTGCACCCYC